CCTGCAGGGACCAGGTGGAGGAGAAGGGACTAAAGAAAGGCACGAGATGGAGCGTGGACAGAGGCTGCAGGGGAGGCTCAGTCCCCAGAGCTCACCGGGACTGTGGGCTTTGGACAACATGCTCGCAAAGCTTGGCGGTGACCCACAGAAAGCGTCCCCTCTGCGAAGCAGGGTGAGTCACTGCCAAGCTCCGCCAGCGAGGACCAGGGCCCCTGGGCTTGTGGTCCGTGCCCAGCAGCTGCTGGTCCACACTTCTGTCCTCCATGTGTAAGGCCCAAGGCGTGGGCTGTGGGTGAGACCCAGGGACTCGTGGCTCGGTCCGGGTTTCTCCCGTAACGTGAGGATAATGGCAGTTTCTTGTCACAGACTGGATGTGGGCGTCACTGAGGTGTGGGCAAGGTGCTGAGCTCCCGTGAGGGACCCGGAGCGGTTGCTAAGGGCGCCATGTCAGCGAGAAAGCGTCAGTGAGAGTGATTCGAAATGTTGATTTTTATATAGGGCCCAAATCTGCATAGTAGAGCTGTCTGGTGGTGACGTGACTGCTTTGTGGCAGCCAAGGACTTGCTGGACACTGCATTGTCCCTCTCGTCCCCTCCCTGTCGTGGTTTCGCAGTCACCAGGATGACTCTGTGGCCCCTGCGGACTCCAGTGCCCCGTCCTCCCCCTGCTGCTCCACACGACGGCCCAGAAACGCGGGCGGTTCTGAGAACAGGTGCAGGGGCCGGAGCTCACTGCTGACCACAGAGGGACATGCCACTCGAGTTGTGTCCCGTGTCCAGGCTCTCGTCCACGGTGGGTCGTGCGTCCCAGCTGGGCAGAGTCCCACAGCTCTGGTTTCCAGATCCCGGCAGCGTCTAGAGCCGTGGGGAGGACGTGCAAGCTGCTCTTAGGTGCCGGGGGAGGAGGGGTGCCCAGGTGCAGAGACGGGACTGAGGGACAGCACAGTTTGCCCACAGTTCTTCCCAGGTCCAGGACAGGGAGGTGGCCTTGGTGGTACCCGTCACAGGACACATCCACAGAGAGGCAAACCAAAAGCATCTGCTCATTTCAATTTTATTTTTGTGCAGGTAGCTCCTTTGTGGGGCTCTAACCCCCAGGGGCCTGGCGGGGATGACCTCTAGCCGCCCCCGCCCGAGTGGGTCTGCGGCTCCTCCCTAGCACCGTGTCGGGTGGCCGTTGGAGCATCTCCACAGCCGCGTGGAGCAGGTGTGACTCGCCGACCTGCCTGAGTGGGGGCACCTGAGTTGTCCCAGAAGTTTTGCTATTTCAGACAAGGCCACGCTGGGACCTTGCCTCGTGGCGTTTCCGGAGTTAATGACATCATGCCGGACGGGGTCAAGAGAGCCCCGGAGTGTGCTCCGGTGTCCAGCTGGGTCTAGGCCTTCTCTGCCTGGAGTCAGCCAGGAGGTCAGAGGGGTCGCCCTGGCCTGGGCCCGGGGGGCGGCTCCTCTGCTGTTGGGGCGGCAGTCCCTGCCGACCAGGCCGGCCCAGCAGTTGCACGTGGGGAGGGTTAGGGCAGGAGGCCCCTTCCCTGCCTCCCCCTCAGTAGCTGTCTCACGAGGCCCCTGGGCTTGCAAACATCCCGAGCAGTGTTTTGTACCTTCCCACGCACCGCGGGCGGCTTGCTGAGCCTCGAAGCGTGTGTGGGTCCACGGCTCTGCCTTTCTCTGAACACAATGGGATTAATTAGAGAGAAAAAGGCCCCGCACAAACAAGCCGTATTCCTCAGAGGAAGCCTGAACAGGGCTGAGAGCACCCTGCCGGGGTGGAGGGGCCCAGGCCACTGTCTGCAGCTGTGTCAGGGTGACCCCCCCAGCCAGGTGCACCCCAGCTGTGTGCAGGCTGCGCCCCACTGCGGCTGCCCCTGAACACACCTCTGTTCACTTTTGTGTCTCCCAACACTCCACTCCACCTCCGCCGCCCACGCGAAGTTTCAAATGCCCGAGGGCAGAGGCCAGGCCACCTGAGCGCCCCCTCGGGCCACCCCGCCAGCCGTGGCCCTGGAGTGGCCTCTCCCAGCTTCCAGGCTGGAGCCCCACCCCCACCCAACTCACCCTCTTAGTCCACCCCCAAAACACTAGCCCTGCGTGCATTGAATGCCATGGTGCTCTGGGCACCAGGGCGGGCACCCTCAGGGCCCCTGTTTTAGAAATAGCGCTGAGGCAGGGGCCACCGTGGAGCTGCCCCAGGCCACTGCCTGCCAGCCGTGGGGCAAGCCGGCTCTAGGGCCCCACGCCAGCCCCAGGCTGCTTCCCGGAGGCCCTGCCTGTCAGCCAGCGATTTCCAGCTCATTCTGGAGCCCCCCGGAGTTGGGGCCAAGAGGGGAGGTCTGGCAGCCAGGGCGGCGCAGGTGGCAGGAGACACTGCAGGGACACAGGTGCCCGTAGGGGCTGCCATGTCCTGACATCGCTGTCTGCCTCCAGGCCCTCTGCTCCGGGAGGCCCCACCAACCCAAGTCACAGACCCGGCCACGGGGGCCCAAGCCCCGGGCTGCCAAGTACCCGGCCGGCCCCAGGGCAGGGGGCCCTGCCACTCAAGGGCATCGGTGCCACGCCGGCCACACAGGTCCAGCTTCCCGTCCAGCCCCCCGCCGTCCAAAGCTGCTCCGAGACGGCCTGCCTCCCGCTGACCCACATGCCGTCCCGTCGCAGTTGGGGTTCCGTCTGACCAGGCACCCGCTCTGTCTGTCCGTCCGTCCGGCCAGACTGTTCTCAGCAAAGCGCCCGCCAGCGCGTTCCAGAGGCTGGGTCGGCCGTCTCGTGGCCCGTCACGCCTCCTGTCCAGAACCTTCCTGGCTATTCTTAGATTATTTTTTCCATTTAAGTTGTAGAGTCAGTGTGTCCGTGCAATTAGCTGTGTGCTCTGCAGGGACTGGACGTACAGGAACGTACAGGATGTGAGCGAGTCCTGTCCAGGGAGGGGCCCGTCCTTCCCCACGGCCGAGCCTGCTCCCACCTCCCGTGGGACACGGCCCCTTTCCCGGCGAGTGCGCACATGCCTACCGCGTGCACACGCCTACCGCATGCCTTCCCCTTTGCTCGTCGTGGGGAAGTGGGGGTGCAGCACAGGAGAGAGGTGCAGGGAGCCTGGGCTGGAGAAGCCACACCCCAAGAGTCGAGTGTGCACCCCTGTATCCCACTTCCTGATCTGCCTTGGTCTCCAGGACAGACAGGTGCGGGGAGCCCAGGGAAGGCGGCCCTCCCTCTGCAAGGCAGCGTTGGCCCCGCACCCCTGCCCCACGATCTCGTGGCCCAGCAATGGCCTCTGGTCAGGGGGCCCTGCAGGGCAGGAGCCTGCTCCCACTCTGTCCGGGAACCCCAGGACCAAGGGCCCGGACTGCTCCAGCGGGGACAGCCACCGGGGCCAGACCCTACGCCCCGCCAGCCTCCGGCTGCCACCAGCCCCCAGAGGTAGCTATTTTTGCTGCCCGGGCTCAGTGAGGTATTTCAAATGTTTTGACATTTACAGTCTGTGTTGGATACACTCGTTATGTTTAAATCATAGCCGGGCTGCAGTGACTCACGGGGAATTGGTTTGTCTCCTGAGACTGGACTGTGCCACCCGGTGCCCCCAGCAACCCTGGAGGGCACGGTGCCTTCTCACCTGCCCCTCGGACCTCGGCAGCCCCTGCCGTCCTTCGGGGGGAGGGCTTCACATGGAAAAGCAACAGAAAACCAGGGGGTGGGATGGGCGCCAGGCTCCGGACCCCCCTCAGGGAGGGAAGGACGGACCTGCCACCCACCTGGGGCCAGCAGCGCAGGTAGCAAGAGTGTGGGGCTGCAAGCTGGCGAGGGCAGGGCCCCTCAGTCTGTCTGCAGAACTTTGTTCACTCGGAATTGGAGCAAACTCAGGCCGCCTCTCCCAGGAGGCCTCCCAGGCCTGAGCGGAGCCTGGAGCTGCTGTGGGAGGGGCGGGGTCTCCAGAGGGACCTCGGCCAGTGCCCAGAACAGGCCCAGGGAGTGGGCCAGCTGGAGTTCCAGCAACTTCCGGCACCTCTTGGTGGTTGCCCGTGTCTGGCGACTGCCCCCTTGGCAGGGTTTGGCTGACTGTCCTCGGCAGGGCTGTGGTGACAGGTGCCGGCTGCAGGACACAGGCTCTGCTCGGGGCACCCTAGGCAGTGGCAGAGCCCGGGACAGGGACCGTTTCCTGACATGACCCAGATCCTCATGGGGTCTGAGGCTCACAGGGATGGGGGGCACCTCTGCACCGGGGGCACCTGCAGCCCCACTGGCTCCCACTGTGTCCTCTGATGTGTGCTGTCCCTGTCCCCGCCACCTGCTGGGCACCTGCGGAGACAAAGCCGCAGCCTGGCATCCCCACGGGAGCCGGGCCTGGGCTCAGACAGGCCAGGTTCAGATCCAGGTCCAGCCACTTCTGAGCCGGCATCTTTGGGCCAGACCTGCAGCCTCTCTCAGACTCAGTTTCCCCGGAGGCGGGGCAGACACGATGGCCCAGCCTTGCAGGTCCTAATCGGAATCAGAGGCAGGGCCCCAGGTGCTAACAAAGGGGCCACACACCTTCCAATGCTCTGAGAGGCAAGGGTGGGCAGGAGGAGGGTCCACGTGTACTGTCTGCGTACAGGCCGGGAGGCCCTGGGGACGGCCCGGGTGAAACAGCCACTCTCAGGGGCGGCTGTCATGGACACGGCATGTCCACACCTGAGAACGCAGAGCTTTGCCCTTTGCCACAGCCGGGACACCCCAGAGTCTGTTCCCTGCTGTTCCAGGCGAGACCCCAACGCAGGGCTCACCCAGGTGGCAGGGAGGCTGCAAACCTCTCCAAGCTGGGTGGGGACAGCTGCAAGCCGGGCTTGGAGATGGGCGGCCAGGGACGGCCTGATCGGGGCAGCCTGGATAGGACACGCCCTTCTGAGCTTGTGCCGACCTGGGGCCCCGCAGTCCAGGCCCCAAGCCCCAGCCAGGGCGGCAGACGCCCAGGGGCAGGCGGGCGGGCGGGCGATGTCTCCTGCGGCCATGTCTGACGCCCCCTCCTCTCTGCAGGTCAACACCTTCATGTCCTTCCTGCTCCCCATGGTGGTCATCTCTGTCCTGAACACCATCATTGCCAACAAGCTGACCGTCATGGTCCGCCAGGCGGCCGAGCAGGGCCAGGTGTGCACGGTCGGGGACCAGCAGGGCACCTTCAGCATGTCCATCGAGCCCGGCAGGGTCCAGGCCCTGCGGCACGGTGTCCGGGTCTTACGTACGTAACCTCCGGGCCCCCGGGGTGGGCGGGGGGCCAGGGGCAGCAAAGGCTGCAAGTCCCCAAACCAGAGCGAATTTGAAGACAGCAAATGGTGCAGGCAGGGCCCAGACCCAGGAGTGCTGGCTCCACAGGCGGAGGAGTGTCCTTCCCTCCCTCCCCCCTTCCTCCATCCCCCTCCCTCTATCCCCCCTCCCTCCATCCCCCCGAGGGGAGGGCGATGGAAAGGCAGGGGTACCAATGGGAGGAGGGAGAGGGAAGGAGGGATGAATGGAGACG